CGCTTACCCAATCGTCACTGCGATTAAGTATCCTTCCCTTCTAAGTAAGTAAGTAATTACTAGTTATGAAAGTCACTTGCACAATTTTATGTCGTGCGAGTAATCTTCAAAAATTCATAGCTCATTCCTGGGGAGAGGGGGGGGGGTGATCCGCCACAGGTAACATAGACCTGTATAATTGTTTCAGTGAGGAGATGAAAATTTACATGAATCAGATACGCTTTCATGCAGTTTCTAACTATAAGATGCATTCAGGTTCCATCTTGATGACTCCGAGAAAGTGAGCATGAAACCTTACATAGTCAACAATAATTTTTACGTTGGAATCAAGAACAAAGAAGCACGACAGGTGAGTCAAGGCGAATATATTAAATGTGATTAACTGTGAGAATTTAACTCCCCACTTCAGGCTCTCCATGGTCTCTGGTTCGTTAATAAACACGGACACTGCGCAAAAGAAAAAGTACAACGAGCACAAAACAAATACCTTGATGGGATTGGAATCACGTAATACGACATCATACTTGAATGCATTATTGGATCTGATTTATGCATACGAAGATAAGCGGGTGTCACATATAACGGGGTACTCATTGTTTGTAATTATATGTGTTAATTCTTTGCAGATTACATTCTTGGATAAATATATGTGTATTTCCAATTAGTTAGCGGTGAAAAGTGCAGGGAATTGCGTTTATTGTTAGCTTTTTGTGAGAAGACTTTATTCACATTACGCTTTCGTATGCTTGCATAGGGAGGAGCTCGAGACATCAAGGGATCTTGCTAAAACTTGGCCTCAGGGGCTCAACAAATTTTATTATATTTATTTCGTTACAATTTTTCCATAGTTCTAACTTTTCCGCAAATTGCAGGCAAAAACCCGAGATTCCGATTCCTAGTTAACGAATACGTGCTCTTCAAAACTTCGCCTACAGCTTCGGCTTGGAGCATTTATTCAGACTGTGCATGGCTTTATTTTTGCTTCACCGCCTTCCAATTTTT